TCAGCAGATTCATTGCTAATTACAGTCTATTGCTCTTAAGTAGATTCACAGCAACAAGCAGTCATAAAAAAGACTAAAGGGAGTGTCATCAACATCCTTAATTATATCACCACTGCCAAGATTACAGCTCGAGTTATCAAACGCTGCTGAAGAAAGATATGTCTACCATTGCTTCATGACAGCTGCTTGATTGCTTCATGTCCTTTTGTCCCTTAAAAAAAATAAAAATCTGATCGCATCTGTGTTCTACAACTACCCACACACACATACACAATAAAAAAAATACTCCACCCTTAAAAAAACACCAGTAATTATCTCATAATCTTGGAGTAATAAGTGATCACCAAACAGACAGGCCAAAAAATTATAATAATCCAAAATATAAGCAAATTGGCATCAAACCATATAGCGTGGAAAGTTTGTTAAACTAGAAGGCCGTGAAAGCCGACAAGGGTTTATTGGTTTAGTCATCATAATCCCTTTTGGAAGGCTGGACTGTTGTTGCAAATTTGTTCAGAATCTGCTAACATTGACTGAGCAACAGGGCAACACCTGAAGCAACAAGATGGGTGGGGATGGCAAGAGAACATTGTGCTAGATATGCGTCTGTGGCATTACTGGGGCGGGGTGGGGGGAGCTCTAAACAATGCCAAATAAGAGCCAGCTTGTTACATCTCTCAGTAGGCAGTTCAATCTTTAAATACAAAGGAAACTGACTATCCCCCCCCCAAGTGTTTAAACCTGATTCACTAGAACCTTATGAGGGAGGTTACTTTAACAGAGCTGCTAGGTGACTTAGTCTTATTGGATCCTCTTAAAAAAATGCTATTTACATAAACCAGAGTGGAAAGCTTTGTTAGGCTGCATATATACCATATGTTAAATGCACATTTAAAGCACATCTCCTCCTATCCCACCCCACCACTTCCACCAAAGAATTCTGGGGACCGTGGTCTGTTAAAGGTGCTGGGAACTCTGGTTCTGTGAGGGGCAAAATAAGGTTACCAGGATTATCTGTGGCTGCAGAAACAACCAAGGGCCAGGTTAGGTGATTCCTGTCCCATAGTCCATCTTCCCACATGTGTGGAGGGGAGTGAAAGTGTGTCTTCTACCAGGCCTGTCTCAGTTGACAATGCAGTGGTACCTTGGTTCTTACATATCTTTCCATGTATAACACCCCCCCCCCCATGTATAATACAAACCCTATTTTTTGGGACCGCAACAAAAAACTTTGAGGGGGAGATTGCCCAGAGTTGTTGAGCTTTTGAGGGGGGGTCCACTGCCGCCAATCGCTCTACAGCATGGCCGCAACTAAAAATCGCACACATTGACGTGACCACCAATCGTCTGCACACTCACAGCCAAAAGCCCACCTGCCCACTCAACGCAACCACAGCCGATTGCACACACACTTCGCCACTGCTGTAAATCAACCGCCCAGTTGCCGCAGCCACAGCCAATCGTCAGTAGGCCTTGCCGCAACAACCAATCACACACCCAATCGCCGCTGCCAATCTCCTGCTGGATGTTGCCACCAATCGGCCATCCCCCCTCTGCTTTCCGTGTATAAGACGACCCGCAATTTTTGCCTATTTTTTCTAAAGAAAGAATATCGTCTTATACATGGAAAAATACATCAATCCATTCCAGGAGTCTGTTCAACTCCTGAAACAGTTTGGAAACCAAGGCACGGCTTTCAATTGGCTGCAGGAGCTTCCTGCACTCAATTGAAAGCCACGTCAGACGTTCAACTTCTGAAAAACATTCGCAAACCAGAATACTCACTTCTAGGTTTGCAACGTTCAGGAGCTGATTTGTTCGGAAGCCAAAATGTTCTACTACCAAGGTACCACTGTGCTGAGCTGGAAGGTTCAGTATTCTGGCCGAGGGCCCTTCCAGACTGTCACTGTTTGGGGATGAGATTTAATCACATATTGGAAAATTCAGGTTCTGTAATTATAGTTGATTGGGAGTTTTCTGCAACAAACCCACTTACCTGGTCCAATGCTTGGCATCTCCAGGTAGAGCTGAGAGAGACTACTTTGTTGCTTTCGAAAGGCAGTCAAGCTAAGATTCCATCACTCTGGCCAGCAGCCATTTTAAGTTGCTTGTAATGTGATGCCCTCTGCCCATCTACAGGCTGGGACATTGCATTCTGGGTAACTCAAGATGGAAGGCAGGCACCATGTATGGGAAATCATCTTAGTACCTATTCAAAAGAATTGCCTGCCACTGGAGCAGGAGTGGCACTGCTGCCACCACCAATGTGGTAGTAGTGCCACAGCAATGACAGCTGCAGCCATGATCACTACAAGAGGGCTTGATCCTGCCCTGATTTGGGGTGTTGTTGGAGTGGGACCCCATCCTCATTACCATGCCAAGCCACCCCTGCTTCAAAGTCAGACACTAGGCCTGACTCAAGACAAGCATGTTTGGACAAAACTAAAATGGTTAGCGATCATCTCCTAGTATTATCTTGTCACCATTTAAAAAAGAATTTATGTATAGTTGTGTGTGTGTTAATACGAGGCATCGCATTTTATGAACCTAGCTTCCCAACCTCAAAGTCGAGTGTGCAAGACTGAAATTTAGGACCATTGACCTTTCGCACAAAGTGGCCATAGGTGTCCCCGCAGCTGTTAAATAAACCTATGTTTATGGAGTCATAAATGTAGCACAGGTGAAGATCTGGGTGATATAATAACAACTCCCATTACTACACAGTTTGTCATTTATACAGCATTTTCCCCGTCGTGGGTGAATATTGTTTTACAATAACAGCACAAGGTTCTCTGGATTTAACCACTCTGTCTTCATTTATGAGTCATTTGACCTTTGACCTTTCCAAAAAAGATCAAACCACTTCTGAAAGGCCTACTTCTCTCCCTCTCTCTGTTTCTCTCCCTCTTAAAAGAAAAAAGAAAAAAAACAATTCAACAGCAGTTGGCTGAATAGCAGGAGAAGCTGGTATGTGCCCCTAGGGTTTCCAAAACAACTGTCCTAGATCGTTTTATAAGATAATCTCAGTGTAATCGGTGTAGCCACAAATTATCGTGTAAACTCCCAATTAAAAACACAAAATAGGAGCTGTAAATCATGACACCAAACTACCACCTTCTCAGAACAGAGTTTGGGAAACAGGGTGGGAGTGGGGGGGTTGGTGGGAAATAGAGCAGCGAACTCTCCCCCCCCTCCATTATTATTTCCACACTTTAACAAACCAGGAGAAAAGCAGCATTCCTGATTTGTGAGCAGATTTTAGAGCAAGCGCGAGACTAAAAACTATTTGAAATTCTAGCTTTAAGCAGCAATGGGAGACCACACCACTTGTAAATTAATAATAATAATAATAATAATAGTAATAATAATAATAATAAATAATGCTCCACCCTCCCCACAGGACCGTGCTTGTAAAGAAGCAGCCTGTGCTTTTGGCACCATGCCACCCCCCACCCCGTCCCATTTAAGAAATTAAACTGGTAGCACGCAGTCCTCGCTGAAAGGTTGTGCTTTGCTTTGTTTTGCCCAGTGGTGGCTTAATTTCAGTCAATTAAACGATACAAATGAATTAAACGAATTAAATGAATTAAGCTGACGTCAGCCCAAGGTAAGGAATGAGAGGCTTTCCACCGCCTTCTATAAATGCTGTCCTGGCCTCCCCTTGCAGGTGTTCTTTAGCTAGCATCTGGGTGCCAGGAACATTGGAAACTACTCTAGTCAGAAGAAAGTGAAGCAATGGTAGATGAGGCTTGACACCAGTCTGGTGGTTGTGTGCGAGGAGGAACACTTTGCAGGCCATAGAGTGTCTCCTTTGCATTCACTAGTGCAGGGGTGGGGAACCTTAGGCCCAGAGGCAAGATGTGGCCCTCCAGACCTTGCTATCTGGCCCTCAAGACTCTCCCCAAGCCACACACCTTCTCCCTAGGCCACACTTCTCACCAGCCCTGTTCTGGGTCCTCCTTGCATGTTTTTGACCTGGCGGGAATGAGTCCTTAAACTCTGATAATGCTTCTTACTTACCTGGATGGAGGTGTGTGTCCCTGTGTCTAGAAACTATACAAAGGTGAAATTTACATCCCTTCTTCTATCCACTTTTGCCTCTGCCCCTGCCCACCAGTGATTTGTGGCCCACAGAAGAGGATGTGACCCTCGACTGGAAAATGTTCCCCACTCCTACCCTGGGGTCTACAAGCAAGGCTGGAAAAGACACCCACTTGCAATTCTGGAGAGCCACTGCGTTGATGGGACTAAGCTAGGTGGCTCTGTCATATGACTAGCTGTGCTCCTGTCTCACATTAAACAAATGGCCACTTGCATTTATCATTAGGGAGTTGTGGTTAATGTGTTGGATTAGGACAGAGCAGAGCTGCTGGATCAGGCTAGTGGTCAACTGGATGCCTGTGGGAAACCAGTAATCAGGATCTGGGCACAAGAGTACCTTTCCCTTCTATGGTTCCCAACAACTGGAATTCAGAAGAACTACTGCCCACAAGGATAGCCATCGATCACTTTGTCCTCCATGGTTTTCATGCCTTCCACTCGGTTTCTAGATCCAATCTGAATTTTGCCCTGTAGAGTTTGAGCCCACAATCCTCTGCAGCATATATGCCTTTATTTTGGCCTTTTTTCTCCCACCCTTCCCAAATTTGCACATGACTTAGCATTTTAATTTTGCCATGATTCTGTCAATAAATGGTTGGCTTCGAAAGAGCTTGGTTCAAATTCCTTAGTCCAAAGTATTGCTTTCCATAGTAAGGAAAAAACAGTGAAAAGACGACACTTTACATACACAGGGCCAGCTCTCCTATGAAGCAGAGTGAGGCATCAATCACAAGTGGCGGATTTTGGGGGCAGAAGCAGCAGCCGTTCTTCCTGACTGCACCCTTTGCTTGGAGAACAGGGCTGTGTGCCATGCGAAGCATCTGCAACCCCATGACTGGCCTGCACTCCTTAAGTGCAGTGGAGGAAACTATCCTATTCTAATTCCCCTAATGGGAAAGGGCCATAGCTCAGTGGCAGAGTATCAACCTTGCATGTGGAAGGTCCCAGGTTCAATCTCCAGGGAGTGTCCTCTGTCTGAAAGCCTGGAGAGCCACTGGCAATCAGTATAGATGGATCAATGGTCTGACTCACCTCCTATATTCCTAATATTAAAACAAGTTTCAGCTGCTAGTGTGGCCCGCTCCTGTACATGGAATGCTCAGTGTGGCACCTGCTCCCTCCCCTCAGGCTAGGATGAGCGAGTCTGTCAATTTTAGTTTCTCTCGGTATCCAATGTTTTTCGGTTCTCCACATTTCCACCTTACTTTGCAATTTATTTATTGGGGGGGGGGAGAATCATTGTGAAAATTCATCATTTTAGTGCAAATTTCTCCTAACATACACATCGTTTTTTCAAACCAATTTCCCCAAAAGAATGCACCTTTGCATGTTATTTTCACAAATACATGTATTTTTATGCACACTGTACCCTGCCATATGCATTTCTGTATACATTGCTTGGCTAGAGAACTGCAGTACAACATTCAGAGAAGTGCAAATTTCTTCTTTTTCCCTTTTAAAATTATTTATCTTAAGAAAGAAGTGCACATCTTGGAGAATGGCTATGCTTCAGTTTGTGAATTGTTTGGGGAAGTGCAAATTGTGGGATGAAAAAATATGAATCCTTGTGCCCCACATGTGTGGAAAGAATCAGCTGGGTGTCTGGATTCAAAATTCAGGGCTAAATTCATTCTTCAGCAGGCGAGAGCCGCTAGTAGCACAAAAGTCAAGCAGTGGTATAGCACTAGGAATATAGATTGTTAAATCCTTTTATCCTGTTTAGTAGTGTGCCAAGTGCTCCCCTCTTTCTATTCCTGCAATGAACAGACCACACTGTTAAGTAAGTTTAAATGCTTTACTTACAAATTCCATTTTTTCAAGCAGCAGCAAGGAGAACACAGGTAAAAAAAAGTCTTGGGTATAAAATATACAGAGATAACTTCAATCATGTGTTCTAAGCTTGGAGCAAAACTTAGATATATCTTGGTCAGTTACATGGCATGGGGAGAGAGAGAGAACAGGAAGAGAAGGTGGGCATGACCTAACTGGGTCTAGGAACACAGTTCTATGATTTTAACCCCTTCATGCACTAATTAACACATGCATAGTTATGTCTGACTACAGTTTCCTACACAAATGAGGTAGGTTTGCCTTTGAGTGCAAACTGAATTGAGTTTCTTTCCCATACGTATCTCCAGCTGCCCCTTTAAGCACCCTTGCAAAACAAAGTAAAGCCATGTTTGCAAGAATCCTCTCTCCATATTACTTCCTCCTCCAAAGTAATCACTGTTGTAAGTAGCATGATCGGAAATGCTTTTGTAGGCTACCTTCTTGACACACACAAACAATCTCAACAATTACTTAAATTCATTTAAAGCACTCTGTAAACACACATCTGCCAAGAGCCCCACCTGGCCACAGATAGCAATCAACTAAGGCAGCCCTTGCTTCTCCTCCTACTGCTTCGCATTACTCCATTGTCACCAGGGAAACTGGTAAGCTAAACAATAGAGGCTTTGCTAAACATGCTCCCGGTATCTGTATAATCTCTTTGAATGTACATTATTAACTTGGGCCATGCCCAGATTGTTGCTTCTCCTCTGTTGTCAGCACATCATGATCTGCAAGGAGATATTTATTGTTGCAAGCATATGACGCTCTTGCACAACCCGCATGAGACTTCCAGAATTATGCCCAATTACGCTAGACAAATTTACACTGGCTTCTGTTTCTCTCCCACAGCTGATATGTAGCGTGAGGAGGCATTGGGAGGTTGCTCCATCATCTAGCCCAGCCTTTGCCCACCTGATGCCCTCCAGATGTTTTGAACTACGACTCCCTTCTGCCCCAGCCAGCACAGATTTTGAAGAGCTGTGGGCATCAGGTTAGCAAAGTCAGATCCAGCCTATAGAATGACTCGTATCTCGATTTCAGCTTCTCCTCCTCCTCACAGCGCATAGTTAAACTATGGAATTTGCTCCTGTAAGATGTAGCAATGGCTATCAACTTGGGTGTCTATGAAAGAGGGTTAGGCAAATTATTAGAAGATAAGGCTCTCGTTGGCTGCTAGCCATGGTGGTTATGTTCTTTCTCCACTGTCGGAAAGAGAACGCCTCTGAATATCAGTTGCTGGGAATGACAAGAGGGGAGAGTGCCTTTGCACCCAGGTCATGCTTGCAAGTTTCCCACAGGCATCTGATTGGCCACTGTGGAGACAGGATTCTGGACCAGGTGGGCCTTTAGCCTTATCCATCAGGGTTCTTACATTCTTAAGGCACATGCCTAAGTAGATATTGCTGAAGTAAAGCACAGACTCACCAACCCTGCAGTTTTCAAGGCAACTGATCTAGGAACTGACCCAAGGAAGGCTAGCATAAAGGATTCTCATGCATGTTATGCTATCGTCCAACAAAATCAGGATTTTCTTGTTCCACCTCACAGCTATTGAAAAATACCGTATTTTTTGCTCTATAAGACTCACTTTTTCCCTCCTAAAAAGTAAGGGGAAGTGTGTGTGCGTCTTATGGAGCGAATGCAGGCTGCGCAGCTATCACAGAAGCCAGAACAGCAAGAGGGATTGCTGCTTTCACTGCACAGCGATCCCTCTTGCTGTTCTGGCTTCTGAGATTCAGAATTATTTTTTTCTTGTTTTCCTCCTCCAAAAACTAGGTGCGTCTTGTGGTCTGGTGCATCTTATAGACCGAAAAATACAGTACTCACCAGCAACCTGCTAAACCAATAGTCAAGCCTTCAGAAGATTGCTTCTAGATAGGTGAAAAGGTTCAGCTGATAAATGATGATGGTAAAGTCCCCCCTTAAACTAATGCCATATTCTGTAAGTGAAGAGATTCCACATTTTTCAGCTCTAATCTTGGAAGTAAGTTGAGTCGACTGAGACTTTCTTCTGAGGAACTTTGCATAGGGCTGCAGTACAAGTGAACTTGAATGCAGGATTGTTGCAAAAGCTGTGATGAAGCCTTGTGGGTGGCTCCTGCAATGCCCCATAAGCCCTCCTAGAGAATGTTCAGTGCAGGACTTTAAGGGGCAGAAGTTAATGCCATAAAAAGAGGGGGCAGAAATATGTTTAAAAGCAGCCGGTTGGATAAAATGGAAAGGAAAATGTCATAGCCTTTTTTGTTTAGTTTTTTGGCAAAGGTTTTGATTTCATCTACTTGGTGGAGATTTGAGAGGTAAAAAAATCTCAGCTGGAGAACATTTGCATGAGCTCCACCAGCTGCAGACTAACTGGAGCTCAGGGTTGAATATCTAGCTGCCTTGAAGCTCAGCCTCTGTAGGGTGTGTGGCCGTTTAAGAAGTTAGTGGCGGACGTGGAGAGGGGTGGGGGGAGGTGACTTAGGACATATTAGTACTTAACACTTGGCAGAAAGAGTGTTTCAGACTTCAAAGCCCTTTCCCATCATTAATGATTTAATCCACACAGCATCCCTGTGAGGCGAAAAATGTTCTGTCCTAGGTTACTGGAGAACTTCAGAAATCGAGGGAGTTGAGCGTCGATAGGGTAGTACATAAAGCATGAGCCTTATTGATCACATCTGTACCTCATCTGTGGTCACGCGGCGCGGACTAATCCCCTAAAGCTTCTCCCAGCATGCACTGAGCTCAGTGGAAAACCTGGTAAGAATTCTGTAGGGTTAACCTCTCCCTCAAGTCACTTGTCCCAGAAGCAAGGAGTCAGAGAAGGCTAACTGCAAGAACCCATGACTAAATGTCTTTCATTTGTCCTATTTGTTTCATTTTTCTCACTTTCATTGCGCAACTCTTAATAACCTGTACATGATGAGGAAAAAGTGCTTCTAAAAAGTTTTAAGAGCTGACAAAAATGCTGCAAATTAGATTATCAGAAACATATTCTTTAACTACATTGGGGGAAAAACTTTGATCAGTAAATACTGCATGCCTGTATATTCTCTCTCTCTCTCTCTCTCTCTCTCTCTCTCTCTCTCTCTCACACACACACACACACACACACACAAGTTCTGTATCATTACAATTTTCAGAGTCTCAAGGCCCTGCTATGGTGTAACTGTAAGCAACACTATACACTACGTGGTTGAACATGGGTCTTGTTGCTTCTGTTTTTAACTAACTATAGGTTCACAGAAACAAACAAGCATAATAAACCATGGTTTGAAACTGGTGTATTTCTACAACCCATAGTTAAAACAAAGCACAATTTATCAGAATTTTGGCATGATGCTTTACAGTGGTTAGATAAAAATGGAAGCAGAAGCTTCCAATCTCCTTCTTGTGGCTGCATCAGAAAGAAACAGAGGAGGAGGAGCATATAAGCCCCAAGTTTATAAGGGGACAGCCATGGGCTTTTTCTGTACAGTTCCCTCTGAGAACAATGAAACATCACTCCCATGAGGACATGCTCTGTTCTATTAACATTTAACAGCAAGAAGCCTCCTGCGCTAGCTACTTCAGGCTGTCCGTGCCTGGATGACTTCTGGAGCTTTGGAAAAGGGGAGGGGGAAGAGAATGGACAAATTCAGCATTGTTGCCTTCAGACCATGCAGTAATGGGATCTGCAGGACTGCAGAGTCTAAAGCAGACTAAGGGCTTGTCCATACTTCTGTTTGGTCCATGGCTTCTAGGCATGGGTCTGAGAGGGTTTTCTTTGGTACCTCCACTTTTACCTGTAAACCCACTGTTTACAGCTGATTTGGAGCAAACATCAACCAGCAGATTAACGTCTGTCCCATTACAGCAGTAAACAGTAGGTTTTACTGTGGAAAGTTGCAGGAAGAGAAGAAAAACCTCTGAGGCCCATGCCTAGCAAATAGAAGAAATTGTGGGAGAAAGAGTAGTCTGGATGAACCCTAAAATGGATTCACAATCTGATCTGAGTCACGATCCACCCAGATCAAATCAGGTGAGTCCACTTTTCAGTCCAAATTCTGGATTGTTTCTCCATCTAACCCTCCTACCCATCCACGCCTTCGGCCACCGTACAACAATGAGGGAACCTCAGAACCCACCAATAATTTCAAGAAATTCTGAAGTGTCCTGAGAATGAGGCAGAAAAATTGGAAATCTCTTTTAATACTACTAATAATAATATTTTATTTATATCCCGCCCTCCCCAGCCGAGGCCGGGCTCAGAGCGGCTAACAACAGTAAAATAATACAGCATTCTAAAATCAATTCATTATAAAATCAGTTCAGATCAAATTGATGGCAACCATTGGGCTAGAGTTCTGTGAAGAAATCTTCCTATTTTGCAATGGAAGGAAACTTTTGAGAAATTGGAGAACGTGTTTTGGCACTTGTACAGTTAAACGGGTATTTTTGAATGGTATGACTATGTGGAGCCTGGGTGCACCATTTAAAAAAGAGAGAGGGGGAAAAGAAGCCTTTGCCCTTGTTTTGCAAACACAAATAAAGTGGTTGTGATATATGAAAGTATGCAGAGGCAGCCTGCCATTATGTACTGATCCATGTACTTCTCGTTACATTCTAATTTGTTTGGAAGCTCAGTGCCAACCACTCATCAACATTCTTGGCCACAGAGCTCCAGGGAGATGTGATTCATGTTGTATCAAAGAGCCTGGCAGCCTCTTTGGCCCAGTTGTGGCAGTTCACAAACAATGTGTTCCATGAAACTCCCACACCCAACCCAAAAAGATTTCACAGAAACCATCCATCCTGTCTGAGTGGGAAGTGGACATTCTACTGCATTGTCATGCCAACCTGAAGTTTCACACTGCATTGTTCCCAGCGTAGGATCATCAGTGGGTGAGGTTTTGTTTTGCATAAATCTATGCTCAAGGTCTTCGTAGAGGTGTCCAACGAAAACAAAAACGACAAATCCTAATGGCATTGCGCACTGTGGAAAGACTGGGTTGTATCCAACTACTCGGAGTAGACGCATAGAAATTAATGAACCTGCAAGTTATGTCCATGATTTAAATGGCTCGACTCTGAGTAGAACTAGCATTGCATACAACCCATTGAATAGCTCTTTGCCAGTGGAAATGTATCAGTTCGCTAAGTCAACAAACAGGTGAAACCAGATAAGTTTTAAAAACCAAGCTTGTGTGTAATGAGGGCCCCTCTAGCTTGGAGAGTTTTGTTTTGTTTTGTTTGTGGATATATTCGGAACTGTCCACACCACATTCCGCTTTATTCGTTATTCTGTGGTGCTTCCCCAGTGTTGCTGCACAATTGCTTTCTGGGAGGGCACTCTTGCACTTTAGCACAACAAAAGCAAGATATTTTTTTTAAAAAAAAATGTGATATGAAAAGTTGCAAGATTTCATCAGGAGACTATGTGACATGTACCAATTGGTAATGAAGCATTATGTCTGCCCCAGAACATTTGCAGGCATAAACAGCATTGAAAGTGGGATTGTATGTTTTACAAAACCTGTACCTTCATGAGCACAAATAATTCTGAATGCACAATAAAAAGGACATTTGAAGGGGCCCTAAATTAGAAAAGTGGTAACAGTGACAAGAAAATAAACTCTGTACACATGTTAAAATGTTCATCCTTCCATTTACAATGAAAATGGAAGAAACAAATCAGTCTTGAAAATGGAACAGTACAAGGACATCTAAGCCTTATGAACTCATGCATAGTCACCTTTCAAGTTCTTAATTTGTCCAAATTGTTAATTTGCAGTTCTAATCAGGGTTCACATTTGCACGTCAACCAGCCAGTGAGTCACAGAGTGAAGTGAACCCGCAGACTCAAGAATGTAACTGAAAACCAATCAGACTAGGTTCAAAACATATTACCATCTCCTGAATACTGAAGCAAAACATTGTCTATTAACTTCAATGGGTATACTCTGAGTAGGACAAGCTTTGGATATCACACACTAGCTTTGTTCCTGACTTTTCAGAGATGGGATCAAAATACAAAATGCTCACCACTGGTCCATATCTACAAGGTCTGCTCTGCTTAACAAAAAAAAAGTATAGCTTTACGTGAACATATGTATCATTACTTGGGCTTCTTATACCAGTGTATTTCTCAAAATTTGTTTCAATAAATTATTCCTTTTAAAGGAGGGAAGAAATTGAATGGAAGAGCTATTTCCACACTTGCATTTGGTGGCAGCTTGTGAAATCTGCATGTCTTTAATTTGAGTTCTTTGATCTAAGATGATTAATTCAACTTCTTTAAGTTCATTAAAACGGTTGATAGAAGATGAACAGTTGTCAGCGGCTGTTCATTTTTTCACTGGATTATCAAGATTATGTTTTGTATTGGTTTCTTCTAATTACTCTGTGTAATTTTTTTGTGGTTTATTGCTACCTGAAGTAGGACAATGGAGAGGCAGGATATAAATAGGGATGAACTGCTGTTCTGTTTCAGCTTCACGGGCACTCGGTCATAGATCCTGTCCCATTTTGTGTGCACAAAAAGTCTGCAATTAAAATGTACACACATTGTGCACATTGGCAGCATAAGCTTTGCGTTCGTGTTTGCACTCTGTATGAAAACTACACATTTTCTGTGAAATTCACATTTTGTGTAAATTGGTTAATGAATAATACAGTGGTACCTCAGGTTAAGTACTTAATTCATTCCGGAGGTCCGTACTTAACCTGAAACTGTTCTTAACCTGAAGCACCACTTTAGCTAATGGGGCCTCCTGCTGCCGCCGTGCCACCGGAGCCCGATTTCTGTTCTTATCCTGAAGCAAAGTTCTTAACCTGAAGCACTATTTCTAGGTTAGCGGAGTGTGTAACCTGAAGCATATGTAACCCGAGGTACCACTGTACATGGTTTGGGGTGCACCTTTTGCACCAAAACTGCATCACAACATCCAAAGGAGTGAATAATCCAACTGGGAGTTTTGATCCACATGGAAGTTTGGAAACATCAGATTGGATTGGTACACTGTGAAAAGGGGACTCGATGAATTCCTTTTCTGTATTTAAATATAGATAAATATAATATACATTACCAAGTATTGCATTTTCTTGAATGCCTGACTTTTTTGTTTTTTCTTTCATTGTCCAGAAAACCAGAGAACCTTTGAACTCTGTGATCCTGGATGAAACTACAGAGATGATCCTTGAGAAGCAAAATGTTTAATTGCCATCCATTTCAAGCATGCCTTCTTTGACAACAAAATGCAATTAAAGAAACCATCATTATCATGTTATGGTGCCTCTAGGAGGTCCTGGATAATGTGGAAAGGGCACTGCAAGAGTTGCTTAACCTTCTTAGAAATGAACTTCCTTAACATTTTTACATCTTCCCTTTGGTTCATGTCGGTCACAATGATGAAACAATTTAAAAGAGGAAAGGTCATGGCAAGACGGTGAACTTTACATGCAGCGCTGTGCCGTAAAAGTCTCCTGAAGTAGCAGCAAGGGAATGGTGAGTCTCATGCTAGAAGAAGGAAACAGTGGGTTGGTTTTAGCATTGGGGTTGACTATGATCAGAATAATAGATTTGGATTAAAGGGGAGGTTTTTGGGGGGGTTGTTTTTTAAAAACCTTTTTAAAAAACACCTTTGGATTTTGGTTCTTTCTTTCATTAGAGACTCGCCAAAGCTTGAACTCTTGGATCTTCCAGAAGTGATGTAGGCTGAGTATTGTTTGTTTTATTTATTTTCAGACAAACTGTCCTTCAGTAGCCAACTATCTCCAGTAAGTAAGTAAATAAGTAAGTGAAAGAAAGCAAATCCAAACAAACAAATATTCCTGACAGATAGGCAGATAGGTGATAACTAACATAGCACCCTCAAAATATTGTTTCATTATGTTTCCCATCATCCCCTGACTATTGGTAATGCTGACTAGGGCTGATGTATGCTGGAGTTTAGCAACCTCTGGAGGATACTGGATTGTCTACCCCAGAGAGAGAGGGAATATTTATTCATGTCCAGGTGTTTGCTTTATCTTATTACTTATTTACAGGGATCAAAAGCGACTTTAAGTGCTCAGCTCAGATAACAATATGTTAATTTTCCTCCTCCATACTCTGTCCCCTGAAAGATAGATATATAACTAAGACTTGCCAATGAATATTTACACACCATAATAATATGGCAAAGTTGTAATTGCTGGTGTGGGTTTTTTGCTTGCTTGCTTGCCTGCTTGGTGCGATCTTTAATCCCATCTCCTCAGCATCTTTGGAACCAACTACCAGATGAATGATCAATGGTCTGTAGGCCAAAGTAGTAAAGGGGAACTAAATAAGTAAATAAATGGGGAGATAAATTATTCTTTATGAATGATTAGCCCAGTATTGTTCTCATTACAAAGAGAACAGATGATTTACATTTCTCCTTACAGATAATCAGCAGCTTATTGGTGTCCTAGTGTGACACGGAATGAGGCTCTGTCATCTGACTCTATCATTTCCGAAATTCATCACAAAACTACATTAAATATCGTATGCACCATGTAATTGTCTGCAATGAACACCGCTAAGACAGTAATTGTGTAGTCAAGAGTTAATTTATTCACAGCAAGCCCGTGCAATGTAGATATTAATCTCCTGGAGTACACAAACTGTTGTTCAGGGTTAAAGTATTCACTCTTCCTGCAACATAAACAAGTCATCTCCTTATAGCTCTTCACATAAATTGCTAACTTACCACCAGGGGTGAATTCAGGATTGGATAGGAGGCCAGCAGGAGCCTCTCCTTCCTCTTTGCCATTTCTGTCCATTTCAAGCACTCTATTTACAACTACCCAGCAAAGTGAGCACAAGGTAGGCAGGAAATCCTTTTCAGTCTCTTCACTCTTGCTACTGTTTGCTTCCATGCTCAAAGTAGGCAGCTGAACAGGAAGGAACAGCAATGGGCAGCAACAACAGGGGGGTAGCAGGAGAAATGGGTGAGTCTTAATTTCTCTCTGCTACTCCCCACCCCTCTCTTCATTACCCATTTTTCCAATCTTCCACATTCCACATCAGTTTGTGATTTTTAATATAGTCCTCTTGAAGATTAGTCCCCACTTGAGTGTGCATTTCTTCTTACATGCCCATTTATTACTTGACTAAGATCTTCTCAGAGAAGATGTGGAAATAGCAGCATACAAGAAGCTACTGGTAAGGCAAGCAATAATTTTTGCAAGCATTAATTACGCACAGCTTTGAGTTGGAGGAACGCATCACAAAAGTCAGGACAGTGAGAATTGCAGCAAACAGCTGCAGTTGGGTTTGTGCATTGTTTTGGAGTGCACAAATTAGATAAATTCTCAGCACAAACTGAACTGAACTTTCAGTAAATGGTCAAAAGAAGAAGGAAAACCCCGAAGAATTTTCAGTCCAGCACTACATTGCTTATTTCTAGTGTCCTGTTGTCCAAAGAACACTAAACATTTTAACATTGGCTCTTGTCTTCTTCCCATATGGGGAAGTGGGAGACTTTTTATTTAATTTGGCAAAACTGCAACCAAGCGTACTTCAAAGTAGCACGTAGTCTTACCAATAGTTTTGGAGAGTGGTGACATTGCTTTATTGCCTTATGACAAAGGAGGCCATACCACAGTGGGTTGTACAAGATGTGGTTCTTTTGTTTTGTTCTTGCTTGTACCATTGTTGGGAAACCTAAGGAATAACCAAATAATATATTTTAGGAAAAAATATGACAACCAAATATTAACAGATTTGTTATTCTAGTGATGCAAACATTGAATCATTAAACTGTAGAGTTGCAAGGGACTTCAAGGGTCATCATCTCAACACGTGGTCTCCCATCCAATTTGAAACCATGCAGGACCCTGCTTAGCTTTGCTAGCAGTTTTATCAGGAAATCAGCTGGATGAAAACACTTTCTTGGGGATGGAGAGCCTGTAGCCTTCCAGATGTTGAGTTCAGTGCCAACATGGCCACTGGTGAAGGGTGATGGTCAGGGATTATGAGACTTGTAGTCCAGCAGCTTCTGAAGGGCCACAGGTTCCCATCCCTGCACTATCTAGAACAAACATGAGTCAGCCCTTTACTGTTTACTCTCCTGAGTCAATTATAATGTATAATTATGAAAGGAAATAGTGCAAATGCCAAAGCAAAATTGCCTCTCTAGGGAGATACAGATCAGAATTAGTTGAGGATGATACTACCTGCATTTTAAAAGCACTTATAGTGGATTAAGATAAACTACGCACATTTATGAGTATTACATTCACCAATGCCTTCAAAATCTAGGTATGCCCCTTTATTGATTTTGGGGGTTTTGTAGAGTCAAATAAACTGTCTAGCAAACAAAGATCAAGGTTGGCACAATAAATATGTACCAGTCAGGTGACATTTGATATGACGTGGAATTGTTGGCAGACCAACTGATGATGGCCTTGGTCCACTTCATTGTGAGACTGCTTGCTAAGGTCCAGTTTTTGCATCCAAAAGAAAATGTATTTTCTGCCACCAAGGTTACAAGGATCAACGGTAGCAAAAGTCAAGCCATATGCATGCATCAGCAAACTATCATTGAAAGTGGGTGATAGGGAAATTGTCACCATCTGGGTGTGGTTTGACTATGGCTTCCACATTCCCTGACTATGACCCATGGACCCCAACAACATTTGAAGGACCCCACACCAAATTTAAAGTGAGGAGGGAAGTTTTAATTCTAGAATGGAAAATTACTTACCTACTTCTTATCACTTCCTGCTTTAAACAATGCCAGAACAGGACTTTCCAGTCTCTGAAGTTGGCAAAATGCTCTCAATGACTCCTCCTTATGCCTAGGTGCCATGGCCTATTGACCATCTACTGACACGCCCACCCACACTAAATATGGAAAAGAATTTAATATGAAGTGACTGAAATGGGACAAGTGGTTATGAATAGAGGGATTTCTGAACCAGACCTTTCCTTTTTCATGCTTCCGTCTCAAGGGGAAAGCTTTCATTCCAGAATGATAAGATTAGATACACTTTCTTACAGTCGTATTCTTCACCCTGCTACACTTTAGTCAAGAGACTTTAATTTGGGTGCTGTACAGTTGCCTAGTGATGTCTTCATCAGCTGTTCAAAAGCTCCGGGTCAGGAGCTCAGAGATTTGAATATATAATTTGGCTAATTGACTCAAGTGTCCCTTTTGACCATAGTCAATTTCTACTAATTAGAAATAAGGATCATTAGCTAATGTGTGTAAAGAGTGCTGAGGAGGACGTGTTGCAAGAAGGGCTGAGTGCTGCATTCAACACATGAGACAGAAATGATCTTCCTTTCTCCCTATTACCACTCAGAATTCGAAAAGGTCCCAAACTGGATGAAAGTGGCCTGAAGGTCAGTTCTAAACTCTGCATTCTGCACATGAAGATTCTTGCCTGCATATGCACAAGCATAAAGCCCAGCACCACAGTTCTGATCTCTGAAATAAGGTGGGTCCTAAAAATATGCATCTTAAATGTCAAAAACTGGGGGGAAGTGTGTCTTCAGCTGCATAATGAAGATGCCGAATAAGTTGGGGGAAACTCATGAAGCTGCCTTATACTGAGTCAGACCATTGGTCCCTCTAGCTCAGCATTGTCTACATGCTGACTGGCAGCAGGTCTCTAGAATTTTCAGACAGGGGTCTTATCCCAGCGCTACCTGAAAATGCTGGAGATTGAACCTAAGACCTTCTGCATGAAAATGTCGGTGCTCTACCATTGAGCCATTGCCCTTCCCCTGACCTGGTAGAATGCAGTTTCCTCCATCCTTAGAGTGTGAAGCACAGCGTGACTCATCTTCTATTCAAGTGGTCATTGAGCCTAGGCAGAGCATGGGATGCCTATGCCACATAGTACCATGCAGACCACACCATTGCTACCGTCTCCCTGCATGCATGCATATGTCACCGTCTCCTACATAACCCCAGCACAAGGACCTCCTGCTGCAAAACTGTCATGGCAATAAGAGGCTCCACCAAGCTTACACAACCACAATGCAGACTGGCCTAAGACTAGCTGCAAACAAGGAAGTGCCAGAAATTGCCTGGGCACCCACCTTATCCAAGACCCACCCTACTGGGTGTTGTTCTTGGGCTTTGCTTAAGGATTTCCATAGGCATCTGATTGGCCACTTTGGAAACAGGATGCTGGATTAGATGGGTTTTGGTCTGATCCAGTAGGGCTCCTCAAATGTTCTTATGAGTAATAGGAAGGAAGGGCTGTTGCTTTCATGCCCTGTCTGTGAACCCCCCATAATCTGGTTGGTCACTAGATCATCTATTTGGCCACTGTGGGAACAGAATGCTTGACTAGATGGCCCATTTGCCTGATACAGCAGCCTCTTCTTATGTTCTATGCTGACATCTAAGCAACTTACTGTTGCGTTTTTTCACCAAGGCTGTAGGGGTAAATTAGGTCACCCTGTAAATCACCAAAAGCCGCTTCTGGTCCAGCTCCCCATCTTTATGAGAAACTAAAGCATTATTGATCCGTGAACATGCACTTTCTTTGTACATCACTTCAAAAGTGCCCCCTTATATACAAAAGCTACAAAGAGTATCAGGAAAGCCAGCTCAGGTGAAAGCCTTCCTTACCCCCCACCCCCATTTTTTTTCAAAGAGTTAGATCTTTGGGAAAAAAACAACACATAAAAGGAAAGAGAACCAAAGCCTCTATCCCTCCCTCCTGATAGTCAGCAAAGCAAAGCTGGTGAAGCCACAGGGGAGCCGCCATGTAGAACCTGCTGTTCTCACACAGCTCAAGCCTGGCTTTTGAGGTTTGCAACCATGACAAATCATGAGTTTCAGAATACCAGTACGCCGGGGATGGGTCATTCTTGTGTACTACTCGATCCCAAGAGGGAGAAAAATCCAGAGGGAAGATACCTGAGTGACATTTCAACTGACACATCGAGGAGTAGCAGAGACAGCTTCTCCGCTGTGTGCTGGGTTTGGTTGCATCACTACCGTTGCTTCCAACCCTAGGACAAAGCATTGCTGCTGTTGTTGTTGTTGAATTATTTGTACATTTGCATGTTTACATTTATAACCCAACCTTTCCAAAGAAATCAGGACACTTCTCAACCTTTTGAAAAAAGGTTTGGGGTTTTTTTGTTTTGGTTTTTTAAAGGTGATATTCAAATTCATGGATCTAACTAAGGCCACATTCATTCCATACATTTCAACCACTATGATTCCATTTTAAACAGCCATGGTTTCCGTCTCTTTGTTTGTGTAGGGTACTTTCTTTGCCTTGGCGTTGTTTGGCAATTGGGATACTTCCTTTAAAATAAATAAGTGAGATATAAATGTTGAGAAATAAACTAAGGGTAGGTGAGGGTGAATAAAAATGAAGATTGTGTCCTGCTTAGACATTTGTGGGAGGCTTATCGACTGAATATGAACAAACCCAAGTCGTATTCATGCCTTACATGGGCTTCCCCCAAGGAATTCCGAGAGCTCTCATTTGTTAAAGGTGCAAGATTCACTAGGAGACCCCTTATTCCCCTCCTACAGCTGCAATTCTCAGAGTGGTTTAGCTATCAGTCCCTCTTCCCAAGAAACTCTGGGAATTGTAGCTCTGGGACAGCAAATTCTGCTTTAAATGTATAGTGCAGATGAGACCACTGCTGGAGAGGGAGAGGGAGCCAACCCACCACATCCTGTTTATTTGGATTCCTGACAAAATACAGCTGGTATAGGTGGGGTCCATACACAATTTCAGCAATCTTTGGTTAGGGGAAACAGAGGCAAAATGGTTCGGCTAGCAGCCATCTGCACTGCCTGACCGAATCCTTCAGTCTCTCAAAGTGACTGAGATACCAGTGGCATCCCTCACATCCTTTTGACCAGTGCTTTGCCAAGAAAAGGAAAGAAGTCTCCACATTTCATAG